GGACTTAATTGGCTTAAATATGAGTAAATCTTTAAATGTCATGTTATTTATTTACAAAAGGCAAATATCATGGAAGAAATCTTCCAAGTTTTCAATGAATTTTTGTTTTCTTTACATTGAACCCAACAAAACCATCTCCACGTTTGCTGTCGCTGTCTTTCTCTTTCAAATTAAAAAAAAAGACATCCACCAGGCTTGTGACTATAGCTATTTATTTTCCTCTTGAGTAGAATATGACTCTTCCTTCCCAGAATTAAAACCACCAAGGATTAAGTATTTCTCGAAAGAAAACCTTAAATTGAAATAGTCTAAGTCATATTATGTGACCGTGGCTAAGGTCACATAATTCTTATTATATTAATAATAAGAATTATTAATATCTATCCTGTAGGGTAACACAACAGGCGATATAAATTATGAACGTTTGTCTCAGTCAAACGCGTAGGAGTCTTTGGAAGCATGAGCAGCTAATAGACGTTGAGAGATTATGCAGTCTTTGCAAAGACATTTTTTTTTTTTTTTTTTTTTTTTTTTTTTTGTGCGGGGGCCTCTCCTTGTTTTTGCCTCTCCCGTTGTGGAGCACAGGCTCCGGACGCGCAGGCTCAGCGGCCATGGCTTACAGGCCCAGCCGCTCCGCGGCATGTGGGATCTTCCCGGACCGGGGCACGAACTCGTGTCCCCTGCATCGGCAGGCGGACTCTCAACCACTGCGCCACCAGGGTAGCCCCTGCAAAGCCATTTTTTAATTAACACACATAAGCTGTAATGCTTTATTTCTTCAATTGCTTTCCTCTGTAGTTTAGCATTTGCATATTAATTTGTTTTTAAAATTAATAGACACTTTTTATCTAAATTTGCATTAGTTGAATGACTTGTTGGTGTTGGTTTTATAGCCTACTTTAAATTGCCATGCTATAATTGTGGAGCATTTTATAATTTACAAAGTAATTTGATATAACATTCTCACGTTAGTTAGATGTGGAGGTTTAATCAAACTAGGGAGTGATTTTTCTTCAAGATAGCACTCTCATGCTTTTTGTTCTGAGGCACATATGTAGGTATCTAAATCCTCCTCTGATGCCTCTGCAGGCTTCTGCCTTAGTTCCATCTCTATTATCTGAAGAAGATTCCACTGAGGGAGGAGACTTCCTCTTTGACATAGAAGTGTTTATTCTGCAGTGAGCAGAAACCAAGAGATTAAGAAGCTTCATTTTGGAAATACAACCCTGTAATGCAAGGATAGTCTGCTTTCTAATGGTTCTCTAAAAATATTGTAAATCATTTTTGGATCAGTCAAAATATTCTCACCTTTCAGTAATTCAGTGATTGTTTCTGAAGCACCTTATCACTTGGACACTGGGGTATTGGGAATTAAATGTGAAGCGAGGATGAGCAAAATTCCTGCTTCCTGGCTGCAAGTGTAGAGTACATCTGTTCTATTTACTGGCACAGACTTTAGGTCAAACTGCGACTCTTGAAAGGTTAAGTGATCCCATTGAGATGGTTCCATGATAGGATTCCTGTTGGTCCTCAGAACCTCTGCCACCAGAATAATCCTGTTGCCACTCAAAGTTCCTGTGATGTCATTCTAAAGCTTTACCTGGGTGCTTACTTCAGGTGCTATTTTCTTCTGAAAAGAAAAATAAGCTTGACATCTGAATATGTGAATTTGAGAATTTCAAGAGATAATAAAATTATGGTAATCATTGTCAAATGATCTTTATAGACAGGCAGGGTTCCAAAATGCAAAATCATAGAAATTATTATTTTGAAGTATTTTTTCTTTCGATTCAAGACAATGAAATAAATCTGAATCTGAGGGTACTAAAAGTGGTAGTAAAGGTTGAGTTTCTTAACGGTGAGTTTCTAAGTTATTGAAGTGATTTCTTTCTAATTACCTTGAAGCAGAGGTAGCACCTTTTAGAGTTGCATGAACAATACTAATCAAGTTTCTGTAAGTGAAGGCAATTTTATTTAAAATGTATCACAGTAAAGTAAATGTATCACAGCCCTCAGTCACCAGGGAGTTTCTGAGATGCTCTTCTTGGGCTCTTGTCTACTCTCCCTCTATGCTCTGCTCTCCTGCGGGGGAAGCTAACACTTCTACACCCACTGAAACCACTCCTCCATCACTTCACTCATTTGGCCAGATGGCTCTAGTACCATGACTACAAGACTCCAGCTGCTAGACGGTTTTCTTACAGGTATTCTGGGTGTCTCCTAGTGAATAGTTTGTTATATCACATGCAGTGAGAAGACTTGGTGTAGGCAGTCCTGGAACCTTGTGTACAATTTGTAAGTCTTACATTGTGTAATCCACATTTTAGGGAGCATTGCCAGATTTGCCATGTTGTATGCATCGTTTTTCTGCAAAGCCTCTCTACCAACCCACTTCCATCTCTCTTTTTCACGTTCTCCACCCTACACATACACACATACATGTACACACACCAAACACACCTGAAATTCATATCACATGTTAAGGTAATCTGAGTTCCCTTGTGCTACACACTTTCCAACGCCTATGTAAAAGTCAACTTTTTAATCTCGCTGTCATTTACTATTTGTCCTCACTATCATTAACGTCAAATTCATAATACAATGTATATTTGTATATAATAACATACAAATTTCTACACACATTGTGCTAAAATCATTTGTTCAACATAATGGCAGAGATGCCACTTTTTAAAGGCAGACAGGAAAAGCCTATAATTTGTAAAACAACCATAGGAATAAAAAAATCTCAGCAATCATGCTAAAATATATTCCTTTGAAGAAATTCTTTCTGATTTTAGAGAATCCTATGTTTTAGTTTTTACAAAAAAACCCAAAAAACAAAAAAAAACCCAAGGCACGTAATGTATTCTGAGGTTCTTAAAAAGATGCATGTTCACATTTCTGAGTTTGCGTTAGTTTAAAAGTTTGGGAAGATCAGAAGCTTAAAGTATCCAGAGAGCGTGAGAATGCAAGTGCGAGTGAGCACGTACTATAATTTCATCCATTACATGGATCTGGGAAGATCCATATTTACATGGAGGTGAACAGCCCTGCACTTGTAAGTTCTCCATGTTTAGAGCTGATGTTAGGGCTGTCTGTTGCCCTCAAGAAGCTTTTTTTTTTTTTTTTTTTTTTTTTTTTTTTTATTGTTGGCTGCGTTGGGTCTTCGTTGCTGCACATGGGCTTTCTCTAGTTGCGGTGAGCGGGGGCTACTCTTTGTTGCGGTGCACGGGCTTCTCACTGCTGTATCTTCTCTTGTTGCGGAGCACGGACTCTAGGTGCACAGGCTCAGTAGTTGTGGCTCATGGGCTCTAGAGCGCAGGCTCAGTAGTTGTGGTGCACGGGCTTAGTTGCTCTGCAGCATGTGGGATCTTCCCGGACCAGGGCTTGAAACCTGTGTCCCCTTCATTGGCAGGCGGATTCTTAACCACTGCACCACCAGGGAAGCCCCCTCAAGAAGCTTTGCTGGCCTGGTTTCTGTACAGGTGTCAGTTGAGAGGCTGGGTGCCTGCTGGTCCTAGGTCTGCATCTGGAAGCAGAGATTCACACTGTGGCAGCCCAGGAGTGGCTGGGAAGTTTAGTATCCACTCACGCAAAGAGTGCCCTGGGACCGCTGTTGATCTGAGCAAGTCTGCATATAGCCGTGAGTTTAAACTTCCAGAGTGAAAGGCAAAATGGCCTGGTATGAACTTTGGAATCAGCTTTGGGTTTAAATTCTGGCTTTTCCAACTACAGGCTGTGTGATTTTTAGCTTATTTCTATGAGCTTCAGTTTCTTCATTTATAAAATGCAAGGCAGTTATAAGGAATAAATGGAGTAACATATCCAGAGTTGCCTGGGACTCAGTAAGGAGTGAATGAATGGTATTTTCTTTCTCCCTCTCCATCACTAAAGAGTCAGGAGTGGGGTGAGTAGTATCCACAGTAACTTGGTGTAGCTCCCCTTCCTGGTTTGATTAGATAAAATCTAGCCAACCACATTTTCAGACAAAGCTCTTGGAAATCATCTGTTTTATCCCCAGTGAGTAAGAAGGCAAGTACCTAGAGAAATTCCAAGCCTGGAGAGGGACTGAGAGAGAAAGAGAGTCTTCTCTGGGAGTTGGATTAGGTCCGTGCTTTTTTGTGTAATACCCAGTGGCATACAGCTGATAGAATGAGATTATACATCATTTATTTTTTAAGATTCCCTAACTCGGTGTGAACTTTTTCTTTCATCTCATCTTACACAAAACCCAGCTGCAGATTTTAAGAAGGTGATATGTAATCAATACTTTTATTCACAGGTGATTTTCCTTTAGTGAAAAGCATTTGCAGTTATGCTGCTTGGAAATTTTTATCAGCTTAAGCAACAAAAAAGTAACATTCAAAGTAAATCCGATTGACCAGAGGTTACATAATCTGTTGATTGTATGAGGAGTTATGATGCACTTTAATTGAGCCAAAGACCTCTCATATCTGTTTAAAAATGCCCTTAGGCTAGGTTATGCAGAGCAAAAGATAGATGTTTATTTTTTTTAATTGACGTAAAATATTATTGAAACAATGAGAAATTTAAAGTGTCAGTGAATTCTAAAACTAAAATATCTGCCTCTTTTTTCTTCACTTTGTGCCATCTCTGAATATGCAGCTCATAAAAATAGTCTGTGCTAGAAGACCTTCCCTTTATGTAACCCACTCATTATTATAATGTGAAATGTATTTCACCTTTTGCCTTCTCTTTCTCTGTTTTAATTCTAGAGCATACTAAAACTCTTGAGTCATTTTGGAATTACACAAAACGACCATAATATCAAGATTTTAGATAAATAGCATAGAGTGAAAATATTAAGATATGACATAACTTTTTTTAAAATCACAAATGAGATTTGTCAGTAGTTAGGTATTATCTTCAGAAATATTTTGAAAAGATATTCAGAACTAGTTTAAATTTTGGTACCGAAACTATTCACTTAAGAAACAATTTTGTAATTCTTTTTCTTTTTTTCTTCTTTTCAATTTCAGGGTCAGCCTGGTCCTGAGGTAAGTGAACTCTTTTTCTTCTAACAAATCAATTTCAATTAGGATTTTCCCAGCGTGGAGGTTTTTCTGCAATTCTTTTCAAAGGATATAAAAAAGTTATGAACCAGTAATCATGACACCACACAGTAGACCAAATATCTCCCAGGAGTAAAGCTTCAGGGCCTCTTAAGGGTTGTATGAGCCACATCAGCTGTTGGACCAGATGGCAAGTTTAACAATGTACTGTCATACAAAGCAAAACTCTTAACTGATCTGAGACAGTGCCACAGGACTTTCTTGTAAGATAAAATGATTTCGTAGTAGATGTCGGGTATGAACTTGTTTGCGTGAAGTACTGATTAATCATTACTATTAATGTTGTAGATACACACCGACTGATTATTTAGATTGTGATCCTACCAGCTACTTTTGATTCATTATAGACAGATGTTGAATTCGTTCTACATTTCAATATAAACTAACTGCTGAAGATATGGTTTATAATTAAATGTGAATGCACTCAACAGACAGTCTTTCGGCCCTAAATCATAATGAAGAAAATGAGGAAATATTAGGGAGGGGAGGATTGTGTAAAAAGATGAAAGTACAAAACAAGGGAGTTGTCAGAAATGAAGAGTCAGTAAAAAACAACAACCTCACTTATTGTAGTCAGTAGGAATCTAGAGAGAAGGAAATGCCATTATTAATGTTTCACCTTTAACACTATAATACCTGTAAATAACATAGTTATTTATTGAGTTCCCTTTACATCTCCTTCCCCTCGATATACTGAATGTTATTTCTGTCCTAGATTGTTTCGTAAATAAATGATTTTCATGATATCTTTGTTAATCAATATCATAAATTGTCTATCGTGTGCGAATTCTCATACTAGACCATGATAATATTATTTATAGTTTTTATGAGCTCTGAATTTAAGGATGTCCAACGAAATAAACAAAAATGCCTTCAGGAGAACAGTCCTTTTCACACTACTCTTGAGAAATATCTTGAAAAGTAATTAATTTATATTCACATCAGAGAATACTCTATTTATAATTTTCACTCTTATATTCTAAGTTATCTCAAGCTAATTATTGGAGGGAAAAAAACCCACAAAAGAAAGTTGTAGTTTATTCCCTAAATTTGAAACTGCTACATTACAATGAGACGAAGACAACGTAAAAGGGGCTTTGCATGCTTTATTTTATTTAATGCTACAATAGCCCTGAAAGTATTATTATCCTAGATCTAGATCTCAGAGATATGTATTTTTAATCCCTTCTTATTCTGTATATATACATATCTATATATATCTGTGTGTGTGAACCTATAAGAATACATATATATATAAAATATACTCATATATAAAACATATGAGGAACCTGGGAGAGACAGTGTAGAGCTTGCCTCAGAATCTCCCTACTGAGGGTAGGGAAATTGATGCATTTATGCACTGATCTCCCGTCCTTCATTGGTAAGAGTCGTGCCTGGGTGTTGACTCCCTGGCACTTCTGGCCTGCCCCAGAAGGTACAGCACACTCCAGCTACTCGAGGAATGCAGAAAGCAGTAGGAACATACGGGACCTTTATTCTAGCACCGTCTTGGAGGGAGGCAGTGGTGTGTGTTGGCACCTACATCTGCTACAACATCCAAGTGTAAGTGTCCTATAGACAAAACAGAATGGAAAACTCAGATATGGATATAAAGACGGAAAACTGGACAAAAAACAGCATTAAAAGCATATTAAGGAATGAGACTTTAAAGAGGATAACTGTAAAAGGAAGAACATGGTCATAATAAATCTTGACTACACAGCCACAGTGAATGAGCAGAAGAAAGATGATAAACCAGCGCAGGAAGCCAAGAATGGTCAGAACCAGGAACACCTATGGATGGATCACTGTAGCTAAGATTTGAAAATACATCATGGCACTTCGGAATACCTTCACAGCAAGACTTTTTTTTTTTTTTTTTGCGGTACGTGGGCCTCTCACTGCTGTGGCCTCCCCCGTTGTGGAGCACAGGCTCTGGACGCACAGGCTCAGCAGCCATGGCTCACGGGCCCAGCCGCTCCGCGGCATGTGGGATCCTCCCGGACCGGGGCACGAACCCGTGTGCCCTGCATCGGCAGGCAGACTCTCAACCACTGCGCCACCAGGGAAGCCCGCAAGTCTTATATTTACTATGGCTCTTCAGAAAAACAGTCTACCTAACTGCCTATACTTGAAAATTTTGGAAATTTTGAAGGAGGATAGGACTGGCATTTTCAAAAGGTGATCTGCTCTGGTTTTCCTTCATTTTGGCTACAATTTTGCTTTTAGTGGACACTCAAGTCACATGATCATTTCTTCCAAAGTGCCTTCCTCGTGTCACAGCAAAAGGAAAGCAATGGATTCAGGAAGGATAGGTATGAGGGGAAATGAGAAGACAAGAGATACCCTCACACTGTCTTTCTATGCCATGAAAAATAGGCAGTTTTGTTGCTATGTCCCCAAGGAAAAGTCTGACCTACCTCTTATCCCTACATCATTATAGTATTTTTCAGAAGAAACTTCCAATTTTAGATTTTAAACTAGAGAATTCTTAATGAAGTTCTCATTTAGTACTAGATGATTGGTTAACTTTGTTCTGCTTGTTATTCGTATGCAAATGTTTATGTCAGTGAGTGTTTTCTTGCGTAGGTTGAACATCACCACCTCATCTTATTCACATTGTTATATGATGCAAAACTCTTAGACAGTGAAACTCAATTCTGCTTCTTCGATATCACACATTATTTAGTACGGACTTCCAGATTAATAGGGGTTTATTTTGCAGACCAGTGGGAAAAAGGGAATAATATGTCTTATAATCAAGGAATTCTGATCATCTTCCTAAAATTGAAGACAGCTTGGCTGGACTTAGCTTAAATTGCTAAAAAATTGCGAAGACTAGAAAGCTGAATAGCAGTGAACACTGTTGACAGTGACAGTATGAAATTGAATACGAAAATAGGCCCTAAGCAAGAGAGGTAAATCTATGCGTTTACCGAAATGGGTGAGAAAATGGTTCTTGACGAGGGAAATGAGATGGTGAAAGGATATTAGAAAGAAAAAAAGGCAGTTCTAGCAGCTGTGGTTAAGATGGGAAAAGAGGCAGGGGAATGAATGGGGAGAATATTGCTGTGAACCCACTGAATCAGAGGAAATCAAATTCTTGGAGAGGAAAAGGGACGGGTTAGAGTAAATAATGTCACAGAGTCTTGAAAAAATGATTGGGTAGAAAGAGAAAAAAGAACAAATGGCAACAGAGAGTAAGGAAGGGAAGAAAGAAGGGAAAGAAATTAGAAAAAAAAACAGATGAACATTTGTATTTCAACCTAGAGGTAATGGGAATTATTCAGGGGGTGGGGCAAAATTAATCTATTGACATGAAAGTCACCCTGATATTTTTTTCATAAATTCATAATAACATAATTAATTTCAATAACTCAAGTATCTATTTTGCCTCTATTAGGTACAAGGCACAAATGGTAAGGCTGTGAAATTGTGAACAAGACAGACTCAGTCTCTGTTCTTTTAGTCAAGTAGAGTGTCCAAGTTCTGTCAATTCTGCAGACCCACCATTCCAAGGATGACTTTAACCACACGTGCAAGACCTGCTCTGTGTCTGTACATCTGGTTAATCCCCAGGTTTCCTTGGGACCTTGGACATGAGGCATTTAAGGAGGCCTTTTTCCAACATGCAGGTGACCCAGCATCAATGCCATTGCTCTAAGTGTAGTCCTGGTGCCGTGCCTTTGTTCTAATAATTGGGTTTCTGCCCAGATCTAGGCACCCCTCTTCTGATGACTGAGTCCTTTCCTGGTTCCTCATGCCTACACTCCCTTTCTCCGGAACAGTCTTCATCCCAGGTCCTCCTTTTCCTTTCCTCTCTACTGCCGGGTATTACAGTCATGGTGCGCATGCTCTGTGCAGCCTTGTTAATGGCTGACCGAACAGTTAGCTGCCTCTAGCTCACTGCCTACCTAACAGGGACTCTCCATTTCTATTTCTCTTGACCGTGACTTCTCCATTGCCATTCTGCCCACTGTGAACACATGCCTGTTGCCTGGCCAGTCACTGCTGCAAGGGAGCTGAGTCAAGAAAGTGAACATTTAGCTTTTTCCTGTCTGTATAGTGGAGACATCAAGGGTTGGGACTGAGTGTAGCATCAACCAATATCAACCTATGTATGTCTTTTTCTATCACGGTTCTGATTATGTCATTCTTCTGACTCCCAAACTTTGAATCTCAATATGACTACCATTTAGTTCCTTACCTGACATTCAAATCCTTTGATTTGTCCTGTTTTTCCAGCACTATCTCCCACTAATTTTTCATTAAATTTCTTTCTGGATGTCAGTTTGCACAATGCTTCATCCAAACTGAATCAAAACATTTACTTTTTTCTCTTCAAATATGTTTTCCTTCATTTGTCTTTTCTTAAACCAGTCTTTTCTCCAGAACTGCTTCTCTCCTAGCCCCTAGATACACTTAGTTTCCACACATCCAAATATGATAACCCTTCATACTTACATGTTACTTCTTCCATCAAGATGTCATTACTCTACCTTAGCTGAATGTAATTTCTTCCTTTTGCTGAATCCCCACAGCATTTTATCTGTACACCTTTTTATATTACTTTACACTTAAAACAGAGGGGCATAGACAGCAAAGCCAGACAGCTCATAAGTCAAACCCTGGCTCTTCCACTTAGAAGCTCTGTGATCTTGGGCAAGTTACTCAATCACTCTGAGTCTCATTTCCCCCATCTATAAAGCAGAGATGATCATGTCTTATCCCAACAAAGGGTGTGAGGATTGAAATAACACACGTATAACTTCTAACACAGTTTAGTACGTGACAGGCACTCAGTAAACATTAATTCCCTCCCTCCCTTTTCCTCTTTCTATTGTATCATAGTTATTTATAAACATCTTTTCTCTCTTTATTACTAGCTTTTATGATCTTCAAGAGTGGGATCTATGCTTTCTTCA